GGGGGGGGGGGAGGGTGCCAGAATGGTGGCATCTGGGAAGGCTGATGGTGTGACCGCAGCAGCCAGGGTAGAGTGACCCAAATGGTGGGAGCAGCAGCTTGGCATGCCCTGCTGTCCTCCAGTATCACTGCATAACACCCTGAAAATGCTAGTTACATCTCTGCTGGATTCAATAGGGAATGTCCAAACTACAAGAAGGAATTCAGTAGGGACAGATTCTTGCTGACACACCCCCTCATTGTATTGGCTTTCTTCTCTCCCTCTTGCTCCAGGTGCAGGTACTGTGGACACTGGAGAAATGATTGCCACTCTAGCCACCCAGCTTGGCAGCTGTGAATAATTTTTTCATTAACTGCCAAATGTTTCATCTAGCTGGCCAATTCAAGGTCAGTGAGGCAGGCTGTAGGGCCACTTGGTTGATGCCATTTCCTGTCTGTTCCACCACAGGAGATGTGTTAGTGATGGATGAACTTGGGTACATGTACTTCAAAGATCGGAGTGGGGACACATTCCGATGGCGAGGTGAAAATGTCTCCACCACAGAAGTAGAAGGAATTCTGAGTCACATCCTCAACCAGACAGATGTTGCAGTATATGGAGTGGAGGTACCAGGTAACTGGAGACCCAGAGCTCCCATGGTTGGTGGGGAGGGGGATGTGGCGAGTCAAGTCATTAAATTTCTTTCATCCCCTGCAGGAGAAATTGAAATTGGTTGTCATTGAAGTAGGGCCCAATGTGGGTGGGCAGCAGAGGACTCTGAAAAGCAGTCTGTCTGGGTATTTAGTAATCTCTGGTCTTCAGATAATCCTTCATTGTGGGTTATTCATTTACATACTTTTAACTGTGGCTTGTGATATCTTATGCCTTAAAAAGAAGGGGCTTGCCTAAGGGGGATACTCCTGTGTTAGCCTGTTTGTAGCCTGAGCTCTGCAGAAACCCTGGATTAAAGTAATAGTCAGAATTCCATGAAAACAGAAATATTTGTGGGTCACGAAGGATTGATGGCCAGATTGGGGTTGGGTGCTTACTCTGTTAACTAAGGGTTAGCTGCTACTCGGCACTGAGGGACTTGTCTGGCTTCCCTCCCAATAATTCTCTTTTGTGAAGCCTAGGTTTCTGGCATGGGAAACCGATACAGAACAAAATAAGCCTTTATAAAGAGTAAATAAATAGCCCTTGAGTGCTCTGTGTAAGAAGGACCTGGAAAAAGCTACAGCAAGTGAGAGGAAAAAGTCCCTTTGTGAAAGAGAAAACTGTTCCAAGAAAATCTGTGGTCAGAAAAATTCCCATTAAATGACTGTTCTGTCCCCTTGGCTTCATCCTAAATTTGGCGTGAGAAGGGGAGGAGGTTTGATAAGGCAGGAGTTCGGTAGACTCTTTGGAACAAAGACAAGATAAAGGTACCTTTAAGGAAGGTAGGAAGGGATTCCCATCAGGTTTTGTCAGTATTACGAAGAACTCCTTACTTCAGGGGACAGTGCATGTTGCCCTTTCTTGTGGCTGGACATAGTGAAGAGGTGGGCTTCGGGTGGATATCTGTGCTTACACCTGTGTAATGTTTGAAGCCCACCCAGCCACATGCCCTTTTTATGCCTTGTAAATCCATCTGAGGTCTATTGTTTGTTTCAGGGGTTGAAGGGAAAGCTGGAATGGCAGCTATAGCTGATCCTAAATCTAAACTGAATCCTAATGCTTTGTATCAGGAGTTGCAGAAGGTGCTGCCTCCCTATGCACGACCCATCTTTCTCCGACTCCTGCCCCAGGTTGACACCACAGGTATTTGTGATTCATTTTTAAGTTTGTTCTTTTCTTGGGACTCTTGGAAACCTCTAGCCCCAGAATGAACCCTGAAGTCAGAAGTATCAAAGTTGCCACTTGCTTTGGTTCTACACAGAGATCAGAAACCTGTACTTAGTAACTTGGTTTTAGAATTAATTGGCTGCAGTCCCTAGTGTTTCTTTTTTGTGGATTGTGAAATGAGGCTAAATGTATCTTTCACTCCAGGCGTGCACACTGTGAGCGGATTAATGACTGGTTTAGTTTTATTACTGGAGAATGGCCAGTCCAGGGCTGTTAACTGAAGAGACCTCTGCAGAAGAAAATTACTTTATTCCTTTGGGATACATGCTTGGAATCAAGTGCTGATATGTAGGCAGGCTGTATGTTGGGTCAGCAGGAGCCTTTTGCCCAACAGTAAAGTGTTTGAGAATGTGTGTGTCTGGTTAGCTGTTCAGTAATCTAAAGTGTGCTCATTACCTGTGATAGGAAATCACTTGCACTTGCAGACTTTTGTGGTTTTATGTGCATATGCTATTTTCATGCCTAATCACTTACCCCACTTTGTTAGAAGTCTTGCACACTTGTCTTACACTTGCTGACACTGTGACCAGTCAGCCAGCCAATAGCTAGTCTCTGGTTCTAAAACCATGAAGAAGTATTATGTTAGTTCATGTTTCTGTTCTTAACTCTGCTATTTCCACACAATATAGGAGCCGTACAAGCTTATTGCTTTAATCTCTCTCTCTCTCTCTCTCTCTCTCTCTCTCTCTCTCTCTCTTTTTTAAAGGCACATTTAAGATCCAGAAAACTCGTTTACAGAGGGAAGGATTTGACCCCCATCAAACATCAGATCGGTTGTACTTTCTGGATCTAAAGCTGGGAAAATATGTTCTGCTGGATGAATGTTTCTATGAGAGGATCCTTGGTGGAAAGGTCACTCTGTGATGGGATCTGCCTTAACAAAAAACAAAACACTACTGACTAGTATAAGAAGGGGGCCTCACCTGTGGAAGCGATGGACTACTAGATAAGCGGTGCAAAACTCTTGCACAGTGCATTGGCTGCAGGAGGCAAATTCACTGCCTTGTGGGATGTTGCCCCTGCATAAAGCACATTCACCTGTGACCTACTCCCATCCTGAGCACAGACATCTTATTTTTCTGCAGTTCAGCACCTAGAGAGATTTTTCTTTTCTTGTAACCACTACAAACCTGAGTGACTGCAACATGGGACAAATTTATGGTCTAATTTATTGCAATGTCTGAAAGATATCACTGAACAGAGATGAATGTGTCCTAAGTAGGTTTCCTCCCAGCAACATCTCTTAACTTTGCTTTGGTATTTAGAGGGCTTTTCATGTTTACATAAGGTAGAATCCTTAATTGTCCCAGCTAACACATCATTGTTTTAACAACACGTCTAAAATTTACTGTACTAAAGTATATCATTCACTTACCTATGCTGGAAATTGATCAGATTAGTGTTTGCTAGAGTTCAGTATCTGTGGATCTTTACAAACGTTGGTTGGCAGTGTAAGCTTTTTTATTTTTTTTAACTTTATTTAGTGAAGAAAGTATATGGGGTGGAAAATGGCTAAATGTCAAAGCTAGGGCGAGAATGCTGCACTTGGCTGTCTGTAGAGCCATAATGTGATCAATCTGTGGACCAGGCAGGGAAGTGAGGGGGAAATGGGAGGTCACATTAAGTCTTGTTAATGTTACCTTATGTCATGCTGCTGTATATCCTTTTAACTGATTTTGTTTGCTTTGGTAGTTTCAAACTTTAACCTATGCTGCCATCTATGGGAAGTGTGTGGCAACTGCTGAACACCAGTTCTAGCCACAAGAGCTTGCAGATGTTTAACCCACTCTCCCCCTCCAGCAAACACATGGTACTTGAAACTCGGAGTGCTCAGCGCATGCCTAGAAGAGGGTTTCTAACTGTGCTTGTGTTGCTGGTGCTCTTGCCAACACTAGAACTAAATCTCCTAAAAACTGAAGGCATTGGCATTCACAGGTGTAGATGGAGACCGGCTCCCCACCTGTACTACAAATAATGGATAATTTCCTTATTTGAGCAGTCCTCCAAGGTGACTACTGTCCTGTTCAGCAGCTACCCTTTGTCTACTCATCTGTGTAATGCCTTAAGGAATTTGAATGATCTAACACTTGTGCAACCCATGTTTTGTTCTGTTGCACTCGATTACTCTAGTAATGTTGTGCTCACATAAGGAGTAACAGCAGGATTTTGCCTGAAGAATCAGTTTTTTCTGACAGTATTTCATGTGTACAATTTTTAAGAAGAGTTTTGGAAACAGTTTGAGCCACGTTTTAATATGTGTCCACACTGGAAATTGGACCTCTTGGCAGTGGCTTAAGTGATTTTTACCTAAATCGTGCCTTTTATGGGGAAAGATGCTCTCCACGATTATTAATGCTGATAACGGACCTAGTTGTGTTAACTGGAACTGTGTCCCTATGTAAAGCAAGGGGTGGGGGCCTGCAGCCTAGGCCCGGAGCTCCTGCCAGGTCTCAGGGGCACAGACCGTATCGAGTTACACCTACTAAAGTGTCTTGTGATCTAAACATCCCGTCCAGACTAATTAAACTTTTTAAACTCGCTCGTTGTCAGACTGGATCACTGCGGTCTCGGAAACAGGCCTGGAAGCCGCGGCTACCGCCCCCCCCTGCCCTGGCGGCTGGTCCCCGGCATCGCCCCTCGCTGCCGGAGCGGGGCTGAGGCGGGAGCTGCTCCCGCGCCGGTAACATCAAAGGCTGTTGGGGACGGCTGCCTGGCAACGCAGACGTTTCCTCCCTTTCTCTCGCTTGCGGTGCGCTACTTCCGCTTCCTTTTTTTTCTCCCCGCGCCCAGCTCTCTCGCAGGAAGCCCGGCTGAGGGCATTTTTTTCCTTCCCCCGGCTTCCGGTTGCGACCGCAGAAACTCTCCCCGACTTCCGCTTGCCCGGGTGCGCCGCGCTGCGTCCGCTGCGCCCACCGCCCGGCGTTCCGGCCCCGGCCCCTCCCTGCCGCCGTCCTCCCTCTCGTGCGCCG